CACACACACACACACACACAAACATCAAAAACAGTGAGCAAAATAGAAACTTTACTTTGCTGAAGCCTGAAAATTCCAAGATTATCACAAAATCAAACACCCAATTCACATTTATCATCAAAACTCAACAGATATCAAAACCAAACACACACACACACACAACATCAAAAATAGTGAGCAAAATAGAAACTTTACTGTGCTAAAGCCTGAAAATTCCAAGCTTATCACAAATTCAAACACCCAAAATAGCAATTACCACAGAGAACCTCCACACATATCAAAACCAAACACACACACACACACACACACACACACACAAAATAGTGAGAAAATGCAAACTTTACTTTGTGGGTCTTCATTTTGTACCCTTTGGCACACACTACAGTTAAGAGCAGTCAGTTTCCATTAGTGGATGTTGCAGCGTAAAATTTCCCATATTATCACAAATTCGAACACCCAATTTACATTCACCGTCGAACCTCCACAATACACACACACACACAAAAAAGAAAACAACATAATAAAATGATTAAAATGCAAACTTTACTTTGTGGGTCTTCATTTTGTACCCTTTAGCACACACTACAGTCAACGGCTGTGGATTTCCATTAGTGGGTGTTGCAGCAAAAGAGACTTTGTTGAAGACAATTGGGGCAAAGGTAGAAATATTATGTGAAGAACTGAGATTGAGGGAAGTTTTCTTGGTAATTGATGGGATTTTAACTGACGTACGGCAAGTAAAACCAGTAGTTTTTTGAGGGGAAAGGGTGAGAAATGTGGAGAATAGTGAAGTTGAAGATGAAGAAGCCATTGTTAGTAACATTTGAGCTTTGTTTTTCTCAAGGGGTAGTAGTATATGGATAATGTGAGGATTTGAAGGGAGTTCTCTATCCTTTTGTGGTATTTTTCTAAAATTTTATGGACCTCAATTTAACTTATGGAAATAATAAAAACAACCCCTCTTGTTTGTGAAATTACACTTGACACTATTAGTTGGCTAGTATATGGTCCTTTAATTAAAGATCTATCTTTATACAAATAGCCGATTTGATTTACTATTTAGTTTTCCTAGCCGGTATACATAGATAGTACATCGTTATAAATATTTATATATGAATTATGTATATATTATATATTCACCGACTTTTTTTTGTTTAAACAATTGAGTGATTGGCTATTTAAGTTAATTCTTCTTAATTTATTAAAAGACATTCTAAGTCTTCAATTAGGTAAATGACCTCAAGTTATTTTTTATTGGATGAATGACCCTTTAACTATTTTATAAAAAAAATTTAAAAAAAAAAAGTGGACTTTTTCTTTCCCTGTTTTGATTAGTTTTGATTAAATTAACTAGCAATCGATTTTATCAATTTTATTCTTTATCAATTATTTCTATTGTCAATAATCAACCTCCTTGATTGTTTCTCAATTATGGTCGCTAATCAACCTCTTTTTTGGTCGATGGAGATTCAACCTCCTTCTTTGATTGTTTTTCAATTATGGTCGCTAATCAACCTCTCTTTTGGTCGATGGAGATTCAACCTCCTTCTTTGATTGTTTCTCAATTATGGTCGCTAAGATTCAACCTCCTTCTTTGATTGTTTCTCAATTATGGTCGCTAATCAACCTCTTTTTTGGTCGATAGAGATTCAACCTCCTTCTTTGATTGTTTAGAGATTCAACCTCCTTGATTGTTTCTCAATTATGGTCGCTAATTAACCTCCTTCTTGGTTGACAAAGGTCATTTTCTTAATTTCAAACTTACGAGACCGGATCCCACCTTTCCTCCGGAAAAAGGGAAGGAGAAGGATCTTCTTCCGTAGATCCCTCTTGTTCCTGTTTAGTCCCCTTCATTTCGGAAAAAAGGAAGAAGCAAACGATTCATTTCCTTAATTCAAGACTTATGGGGTCCTTGGTTAAATCTTCTCTAGTATATTTAATCTGTAACCTTATACTCGCCAAAATTCAACTCTATGTGGGCACCAGAAGAGGAAAACTTAGTATTCTATTCTAGAAAAGTACCTAAATAGCATTGTACATCCTTTAGATTTACCAGAAGAGTAACACTTTCTCATAGTGAAGGAAAAAAAAAACAGCACACTTTCTCATAATTGACAGAAGACCAACACTGAAGTGCTTAACTATATAACAAACTCAAACTACAACAAAGATAACCCGTCGCCATATAGCTAAAGTTCTCAGCTTCATAAGCAGCAGTTAAGACCTTGTCAAGATGGCTATCGACTCCCACTCCAAACTACAAACGATGTCCTGCAATGTAATGTTCTTGACGTTAAAATTTAAACGCAAAGCACAGTAGCAAAATGATCGTCTTACAGAGCACATCAAAGATATCATCAGATAAGGTTTCACATACTGATGGGTTTTGTCGATCAATATCAAAGCTGTTGATGGCGCAAGGTTCAGCAAGAAGTTCAACGGGTTCTTCACCTGTCAAATGAAGAAGAACCAGATCAGTCTCAGACCATCAGAAATAATACATACGAAAAAACATGCAGAAGAAGTCAGAACGCATTATACCTTGTTCAATTACGGCAAGAATACCATCTTCTGAGCAAATCATGGCAGGAAGAACACGTGATTCTGAGATGTTGCGGTAGTTGGATGAAGTAGTATAGTTGTCATACTGGACCTCCCAAACATCACTTTCCGATGGTGAAATGGCAGACAAATCACTGTTTCCAACACCAGCAAGTATTATAGGCTGCTGTTGCCAGCGAAGGTCCCATGCAAACACAGTACCAGAAGAACCTCCTGCCTTCAAACACAATAGAATTAGCGACGTGAAACTTGAAACAAACTTGCAAGCTAACAAGAAAACATCCAGCCAGTCTCAGTCATAACCCAGAAAATAATTGACCTTAGTACTAGTTACATGGTTCTTTTGCTTCTAAAATTTTCCTAGTCACTTCAATTCAATCTACTCTCCACCACACTATATCTTCCCAACCTCCAAAAAAGATGAAGAAAATAAAAGAAGAAAGAAAAGAAACTTCATTTTAATTGGTCCTTTGGATTTTGGACTTTCAGTTGATTTCTTGGAAATGAAACTTAATTTAAGAAGTTGTCCAATGGCAGGCCCTCAGATCTATCATGGTTAAATAAAAATAACATACTCATTTGAGACATCTGTATAGTTATGCTATTAGCTACAAGTTTTCGATGTGAAATTATTCTAGTCTAGTTATGACGTCAAATGGCACTGAACTCCTTGTCACCGATGCAACTAATAATTCCCTCACTCCTCTAAAAATGGTAATTGATAATATCTTTACATGTTTTAACCACATTGAAGTGGCACAATGTTTCATTTTTACCAGCAACTGAAAGTTGAGGTAGTCACAAGCTTTCTTCTCTAAATTATCACTTCTCGTACTTCTATTCTACTCTAGCCATTAGTTCACCTCCTACTAGCTAATAAAACTGAAAATTAAGTTTTATGTTTCAGCTTGTTAAGGTAGTGAATAAGGGGTGGCTACTGGCCTTAGTGGTCAAAGAGCTGAGGTGATGACTTGGACACATGAAAGGCAAACTAGGTAAATTCTTCCATTTCCCTAAATCTTGAAAGTTACCTCCGCCGTTAATAGGTACTCAGTGGATTAGACCAGGTACACACAAGCTGACTCGAATACCACCATTATAAAAAAGGGAAAAAAAGTTCGGGAATGAGGGGTGACAAGCATTGTCGATGAAGAGTTCAAAGGAAGGCAGGAATATCAGCTTACAAGACAAGTATGCTTTCTTGATGGATGAATATCAATTGAATGTACAATGCCAGAAGTAGATCCATGAGTCCTGCAATGTAAATAAACTTTCAGAAAAAAGGACCAGCAACAATACATAACAACACTCTTGGCCAGTTAAAGGATGTAGACTATAGAATCACAAAGAAAGAGTCTTCCATCATATACCTCAGGGGTTGAGAATAAACAGAGCATTTTTCCATTTTTGACATTTAAGGGGAAGTATATAATGGCTCAATTTCCACATTCCAATCAGGCTCACTTACCTTAACAAAGATCTACACTGATAGGTTATAGCTGAGGTGCCATTGTTAAAAGTCAGTGTCTTTGCATCAACTTCAGCTACTTTTAACTATCAATTACTCCTCAAATTAGAAGACTAACAAAAGCAATCAAAGAATTGCAAAACTGAACCAAAAATATACACCATACGTATATATACATTCATGACATTAAACCAAAAAAAAAACTTCGACAAATAACTCAGAGATCAAAATAGACAAGACATGAATAGCAACAACAACTACTACGCCTCAATTCCAAACAAGTTTATGTCGGCTAAGAGTCCTCACTTACCACGTTACTTCATATAAATCATCTCATGCCAATATTGTGCAAATACAAATAAAAAAGATTAGTAGTTCCGTATATTTTCTAAATTCATAAATCTCTGAAAGGTTAAACCAATCATAGAAAGCATAAAACCAACATTAAAAGTGCTAACATCTAAAACATATACTCAACTAACATGTATCGTCTGCTCAGATCTTTTTCTTTCATTGCGTCTTATTATAAAACATGAATAGCAACAACAACTAGTACCACTACGCCTTAGTCCTAAACAAGTTGGGATCAGCCATATGAATCCTCACTGACCACGTTATGAAAATACAAATAAAAAAGATTAGAAATTCCGTATATTTTCTAAATGCATAAAATCTCAGAAAGGTTAAACCACTCATAGAAAGCATAAAACCAACATTAAAAGTGCTAACATCTAAAACAAATTCTCAACTAACATGTATCGTCTACATAGATCTTTTTCTTCCATTATGCCCTATTACAAAACATGAATAGCAACAACAACTAGTAGTACTACGCTTCAGTCCTAAACAAGTTGGGATCAGTCATATGAATCCTACCATGTTACTCCATTTAAATCATCTCATGCCAGTATTATGCAAATACAAATAATAAGTATTAGGAGTTTCGTATACAAGGTATAAATCTCTGAAAGGTAAACCACTCTTAGAAAGCATAAGACCTACAATAAAAGTGCTAATGTCTAAAACATATTCTCAACTAGTATGTATCGCCTGTTACAAGAAATGATTAGCAATTAACAAAAAGTTCAATTACCAGTTCCCTTTAAACTGTGAAACGGGTCCACCAGGTCGTCGTTGATCCCACCATTGAAGACTAAACCCCAATCCACCACTCACAAACTCCACAGGAGAAGCCCATTTAACCGCCCCATATGAAACCAACCCATTCCCATCAAAAACCCTCTTAGAACTCAACCCACCACCAACAAAACTCACCAAATTAATCCTCCCATCCTCCCCAACACTCACAAACTCCGACCCATTTTCACTCACATCAATACCCGCAACCCGACCCGAATGAAAACCTTTTACCGAATTGACAAAATCCAACGACCCATTAACCAAATCAGCTTTATAAACCAACAAATCCCCAGAAAATGTAGATGCAGCAATAAGGGGTTTATTGGGGTTTTGTGAGGTTTTTAATGAGCTGATTCTTGATGGTGTTGTGAGTGACGACTGAAGTGTAATTTCTGGTGAATTTGAGTCTGAATTTGAAGCTTTTTGGGTTAAGTTTAGGATTTGGAGTGATGAGTTAGAGGAGTCGGAGTTGAAAGTGGCGAGAATGATGTGACGGTGAAAAGCGGAGAGTTGAGGGAGCCAACGGAGGGAATCAATGTAGTTGTTTTGAGGGAAACGGTGGACTTGGAGTTGTTGAGAAGAAGAAGAAGAGGTGATTACTGCCATTGTCGAATGAGGGTTTTTGCTTTGAGGGTTTTAACTGAGAGTGGACTGTGAGTTAAAAAGAGGGAGAGAGGTTTTGGTGTGCTTTTTGGCTGCATTACTATTGGAATTGAAGGAAAAGAAAAATGAAAAGCTTCTAAATGAAAAGATAGATGGGTTCCTTTTTCTTTTCTAGAAATTTTCTTTAGTGGTAATTAGTTATCTTACATACCATTTGCTATATTACAAATTATAGATACGTTTTTTGTTGTTATAAGATGTATCTGATGTATATAAGCTACTGTATTCATGAATACAATAGCATTTCTAGGCGTGAAACAGGGGATTGCAGTTAGACAGATTTTTGTATTCGAGTGTATTCGACTGTATTCATGGCGTGAAACATGGGATTACAGCTGGACAGATTATTGTATTCGACTGTATTCACGGCGTGAAACAGGGGATTACGCTGTTTTTAAACGGAAAGTGAATCAATTAACATAATAGACTCCTAATATAACTCAACAAACTCAATTATATCACACAAATTTTGTATTTCCAGTTATAAAAAAGATTCTCAACTGAAAAACACCTCAAAAATATAGCAATCTTTAGAGAAATTATATAATACATCTGAATACATAAATTATATTAATTAAAATATATATGAATACATTCATGGAATACAACGAGACAGTGAATACAATGAAATACATGGAATACATCGAGATACATTGAAATACAAGGGGAAAAAAGAGACAATGAATATAATGAAATAGATGGAAATACAGCGAGATACACTGAAATATATTGAAATATATTAATAAAAAATTCAAGTTGCTCAGCCCCAAACTCTGTCGTCTTCGTTCCTCTTTTTTTGCGGCTGCTGTTCATTCCCTTTTCTTGGGGTGACTGCCAGGTAACACCCAACCATATTCAGCTTGCAAGTACATCTCCTTTGTCCAGATCTGAACTTCAAGAGGCACCATGCCTTCCCCGAGCACAACCGTATGAAGAGATTGGTACCTGAAAATCACACACCAATATTAGGGCAAACACTTGAAGAAAAGAAACTCATCTCAAATCTCTCATGCTTTTTACCCGTTGAATTTCGGATTTGCTGTGTAGTCCTTGTATCTCCGCTATTATACAAAGCGTTGAGAGAGAGAGAGAGAGAGAGAGAGAGAGAGAGAGAGAGAGAGAGAGAGAGAAAGAGAGAGAGAGAGAGAGTGGAGAAAAATCTAAAAGAATGAGAGAGAAAAATAATACAAAGCGTATTTTATGGCTTAAGGGTAGGAGGTGACCATAAATAGATATTTGGCTATAAAAATCAAAAGGTAGCTATGGAATATAATTTTTTAAAAGGATATTTATTTAAAATAAATAAGGTATCAACCTTTGCTATAGGAGGTAACTAATCTTTTGTACGTGTACCTCGTATATTTTTAATACGAGTATGAGTTCGGCTAAATTTTAAATAGGGCTCTCTACTAAATGGCTATTTGGATGCACACATATGTAAAACCCAAAAAAGAAATGGGCTCATTCAGAAAAGTGAAAAGGGCCGGCCCATTCGCTCAAGTGTCTGGTTCTTACCACATCGCCTATAGAAGAAAGCTTTTGCATGTTTATACACTGAAACAAGAGCTATTGAGTTCGTCCCTTCGGGGACATCCGATAAAATTGGAACGATACAGAGAAGATTAGCATGGCCCCTGCACAAGGATGACACGCACAAATCGAGAAATGGTCCAAATTTTTTTTTCCCACATTTTTGTTCGAATTTTTTTTGATATCTGATGTCAGTTTTCTTTTTCTCTGTGTTTCTGTTTTTTGGGGTCGTTCCTCAATATTGATTGAACATTGTGAAATTTTAGTATTCAGAGACTGTATCAAGCTAATTGTTAAATGTGCAATTCTGGGTTTGGAAGATTAGGTCTAACGAGAGAAAAAAAAAAGAGTATTTTTCCTTTTTCTAGACTCTGTATATGTTTGAAGGATTGGATTGTTGTGCTTGTTGCATTAAGCATCAGTAAATCAAGTTTTACATGTCAAAGCAATCATAAAACAAATTGATGGAATTCCTAAAATAATACACTCTCGCAGGACCATATATTTTTCGTGTCATATGTTTAATCCCGCTCAGATATGTTTGCAAGCGAGATAACTGTCCTTTCAAACATAGCTGCATGGTTGAGTCTCCTTGATTTTGTTCCATTCTCATGTGCCTGAACTTATGGACTCTTGTTTCTATCTATGTTGCTCAGTCGTTCTGAAAATGTTGCCGGTATTGTATGTCGGATACTTCAAAAGTAGTACATTTTTAGAACATCCGACACAGGTGCGGTGATAATAGGCAAAATCTAGGTGATTTAGCTATTGTTTATGCTTCCGCTTAATTACATTTCAATGACATAATATGGTTATTTGATGAAAAATAGGCTCTAATTGTGATTTGTGTACATTGCAGGGTGAGGAGCTTATATGATGCTTTCAAGAGGTTATTGAAATGATTTATGGGCAAAAACGATCCCTCGGAGTTGAGTGCGTGCAAGAACAAGACGAAAAATTGGAAGAAATCAAGCCCCAGGTGCGCGAAACATGCGCGAAGTCGCGCAGAGTTCGCACAGGTTACAAGCTGAGACAGAAAGGGTGCGCGAAACATGCGCGAAGTCGCGCAAAGTTCGCGCAGTGCCGTCCGGAAAAAAAATGCTAGTTAGGGGTAAAATTGGAAAGCTGGAAAGAAACCTACTTAACCTATATAAAGTCAAGCTCGCCCAAGATCAAATTATGAAGGTTTTCATAGTAGAGTGGAAGGAATCGAGAGGCAAGAGGCAAGGAGGAGTTTGGACTATCAAGTTCTTCTTTTCTTCTCTTTGTTTTTGCTATTTGTGATGAAATTGAACCTAATTGTGATGCACACTAGCATGAGTGGCTAAAACCCATTGTTCTGGGGTTGTGATTAAGCCATGAATATTATTGTTTGATAATAAACTCGACCTTGATTTTAATTCATTCATATATGGTTGTTTCTTCAATTCTGTGTTCAATTGCTTAATTGTCTGGCCAGCAGTTAGGTTCTATTCACTATCTATGCTATGCTTGGGAAAGTCGTGTTTAGATTAGAGAAGAATTGAAGAGAGCATGATCTTAACCCTTAGGGGGAGCGGATTTATGGTTAGGATAGGAATATACCTAATCGCCGTGCTTAATTAAATATCGTAATCTTAATGCGTTCTTAATAGATCAATTCCATAGGAATATAGGCGTTAATCTATTGAGGATAGGTGAGTAGTACTTCGGGAGAAGGCTATGAGAGCACTTATCGATTAATTAGCAACCATGAGTGAATTATATGAAAAGGGAGAGTTATTAGAACACAATACGATTGGTGAATCAATCACAACCCTGGAATACTTGTCTCTATTGAATACACAACAATCAACTCGTTACTTGATAATTTAGTTGTTACTTAGAATTATAGTTAGCATAATTAAACTCTTGAACCTGAATTTAGCTTGACGGAACAACAATATTGGTAGTGAGTAGTTGATATAAGTCTCTGCGGGTTCGACACTCGACTTATCATTTTATTACTTGTTCGACCACGTATACTTGCGTGTGCGTTTGGGAGCAACAAGTTTTTTGGCGCCGTTGTCGGGGACTTAATATTAGCTACTTGCTAGTTTTTGCTTTAATTGTTTATTTCGTTGATCCTAACGTTACTTTATTGTTGCTTGGATCTCAGGAATTGTGATTGAATGCGTAGGGTCAGAAGCCAGGATCGACTTTAAGGCTTTGATCCTGAACCTGAGAGAACATTTCACAGGAGGTTGAGGGAAGCAAGAGACACGAATAATATTCAGGCACTTGTTCAATTTCCTGTGGACATGGCAGAGGAGCAACCCATGGCTGTTCAGGAGGTGGCGATGCCCAGCATTGCTAATGTCACCTCCAGTATAGTGAAGCCCAGGATCACTGGGCACTTTGAGCTGAAACAGAGTATGATCCAGCTGCTTCATGCAAACGGGCAATTTATGGGTCTTCCACACGAGGATCCACAGCAGCATATTCTGAACTTCTTGGAGATTAGTGATACTTATATCACTAACGGGGTCACTCCAGATTATGTGAGGCTCACACTTTTTCCATTCTCTCTGTTGGGTGAGGCTAAGCGATGGCTAAAGGCAG